GAGGGCTTGGTTTTGCTTTGACAAAGCGAGATCATCTGTTCCTTGTCGACTTTCTTCCTTGTTCTTTTTTCCCTTAACTCTGATTCCGTTCCCTCCCCTTCTCCTTCTCATGATCTCGCTGAAATAACCGAATAATCGACTACCATCCCAAGTCCCTGGCTCAGTTGTCTCGTACTCGACATATTTCACCGACAAGTCTTGACATGTCTATCACAGTCACAAGTCACAGTCACAATCCACCGGCGCCATCATCTTCATCCTGGGCCCTGGCGAATGGAAGCTCCACCTAGTGTGTAGTACGTACACATAAGCCACGTTCCCTCGAGTTTTGACTTTGCGTTTGCCCTCCTCGCATTGCCATGTGAGTTTAAAATACAAAACTAGCGAGTCTTCCCCCCCCCCCCCCCTCTCTCGGGACGAGTGGGCCTACCGGGGACACGGGACGGGGAGTATCAAGGTAAAATGAAGCGAACGGCTCTGGCTGGCTGGCTGGCTGGCTGGCTGCCTCGGTCGGATAGCCTCGATTCCATCAAATATCACTCTTGTCGGGCGTGACGTTCTAGAATCTCCATGCTTGTCCTATCTGATACTCGTACGAGCATCTACTGTACCTGTCCATTCATTCATTCCCACACGTTAGTACCTCCCTCATCTCTCCTCGTGAATACAGCTCCGTAGGTCTGCGAATACTTTCTTTCCCGTCCATCCACTTCCCCCCATTCACTCACCTACCCCATCCATCGATTCCACGAGTACTCGTACCTTGGCCCAAATTCCCTCCACTCCCCCATTCATATCCACATCGGCGAGAGGGACAGGGGAAAGGGACAGAGACAGCGAGCCGTCATGAAACGACGAGGTGAGGCGGGTCCTTGGATCAGCCATAGCCAGAGCCATAGCCATGCACTCCCTCCATCCATCCGCCCGACCCACCATTAACGACAAACGGGGAAGAGGGAAAAAAGAGCTTGAGTAAAAGTGTGAGTGGGTGTGGGTATGAGGAAGGAAGTTCAAATCCACACCTGCAGTAGCGTCGAGTATGTAGGACGCGAGCAAAGGAAAGCTTATCCTCGTACCTCGACGCTCTCCGCCTGGCGGAGCAAGGCAGGCACTAGCACTGGCACGGGGCATGTCACTGTCCGTAAAGGACTAACGAACTATCGTACTTGGTACAGAACTGCAGGCGTGTGTCTCTCTCTCCCCCCGCGGACTCCAACCAGCTGCTTACCCAGTGCCCACTCCTGCCACTCACAACTCGGAGGACACAGCACTCTTCACCGTCCTCGGCCTTTTCCTCAAAAATGTCAGAAAAATGATCTTGGAAAACGCCCACCGAAAGAGTGAGTACTGTACGAGGCATGTACTGAGGAAAAAAAGAAAATAGAAAGAAAGGAGTCCTTCCCTCATTCTTCCCTCCCTTTGTTCTCTCCCTCAACCCTCCTTCCCATGAGGCCGCGTTGTCGTACTCGAGCTGAAAAGGATAGACTGAGACTCTCTTTCCTCTCGTACTCATTCAGCGAGACGCGCACCGTGTACTCCCAACGAATTTGTTCAACAAGGGTACGCGAAAGTTTTGAATTTGTCGTCCATGTAGTGAGGCGTGCGCGCTGCGGTGCGCTGCGGTGCGGTGGCTTGCTGAGGCCAAAAGACCAAAAAACTTGAATAGGTTATCACAATACGAGCTTTTAAGTTCGCACCTGGGGCGAGACAGGCGAAAAAGAGAACGCGGAATACAAGGTTCGAGGCGTAGGGCGTAGGGCGTAACGTGTAAGGCAACCAGTCCAGTCCAGTCCAGCTCGGAGCGGAAAAGAGAAGAGCAAAGGCGAGAAAGGCAAATGACCCCTGACCTGCAGGGTCCGACCTGACCTACGCTGCGATGCGAGAATGCTCGTCAAAGTTGGGCGAATGCAAGGTTTAAAACCCGTTGTTTCTGGACTTTCGAGGCGATTGGTGTGACGATAGTCCCGATCTGTAGTTATAGGCGGACTGTGGAAATGAAAACAGGACTAGATATTGGTGGTCTTTGTGTCAAAGGGAAGAAGCACTCCTAGGCACTACCGAGATCGGCGGACCTAGTTTCGATGTTGCTCCCATACCATCTTCCTTTGTACGCATCCCGTCAACGAACAGCATTGACAACTCAAAAATGTCCAAAAGATCCATCTGATTGCCCACATATAGAACTCCAGATTGAGAACGAGGCCGGATCGCTGCACACTAGTTCCGACCCTCAACCGTCACGACAGGCCCCGTGTAGACCTTCCTCCCTTGAACCGCATAAAACACTCCCGAGATAATCATGACTCCAAAAAACAGCACGACCGACCAGTTGAAGGACTCGGCGTCCACTGGTGTGCCGTTGGGCCAGAAGCTCCAGAAGAACGCAAACAGAGAATAGACTATACTGAAGACGTTGATCGGCACGCCCAGCTTGCCCAAACTCCACCGTGCCTTGGGTAGCAATTCAGGGTGGTACACGCGGCGATACAACACGCATGAAATGGAAATGGTGTAAGAGAACATCAGCGCGCAGACCTGTACAGAGATGATGGCGTTGAATGCAGCGGAAGAGCCAATGTTGATTATCGCAAGCAGACAGCTGATGATACAGGTCAGCGTAACGGCGTTGGCGGGGATGTGCAGCTTCGGGTGGACAGCACCGATCCAGTTGGAAAACGGTAGCCCCTTGTCGCGGGCAAAGGCAAAAGTTTGACGCGAGGTGGAAGCGTTGAATGAGATATTGGAAGCGATGACCAAAATCAGGATCAGAATGGTCAGGGCGTTGACACCGCCAGTAGACACTGCCTGACGGAAGATCCAGATGAAGGGATATTCAGTTGGATCGTCGAGAGCGGCGTCCACGTCGGTCAAGGCAAAGTTATAAGTGACGACGAGCACCAAGCCGAGGACCCCGTTCGAGATGTAAGCCCAAAACATGGCGTTGGGAACATTGCGACCAGCATCCTTGACCTCCTCAGCCATGTGCGCTGTGCAGTCAGAACAAAGTGATCCGTAGATGGCCGAAATCTGCCCGATCATAAGAGCAAGGCCCATACTGGACCAACCTCCTTCGTTGGAAAACTGGGTAAATGCGACCTTTGCAGAGTTGCGAGGCGCCATCACCCACAAAACGATGATGACCGCTGCATATTTGTTAGCACCCGACCACACCAATCCTTCTTGAGCCAGTGAGCTTGCCTCACATAGAACTCACCAAAGAATCCAAAGACATGCACGATGAGGAGCACATTCTGTATCAGAGGCAGATCCCGTGCGCCCCACGTGTTGGCGACAAAGAGGACGAGGACCATGGCGAACACCAACAACGTTCCCTGCCATGCTGTTGGATCGTAATCAGGATTGTTGATCTGAATCAAAGCCTGAATAATGGTTCCGGTCAAGAACGAGCCTGACGCTGTCCCAGCCTGCCAACTGAGTGTTGAAAACCAACCGGTTAAATAGCTCAGGCTCTTCTGATATCTCGGCGGAGCGAACTCAGACACCCAATGGTATTGACCGCCGCTCGTTGGAGCCCTACAATTGTTAGAGGCTTCTCGTACATGCGATGGCGTCGAACATACATGGAAGCCATCTCGGCCAGAGATGTCATGACGATACCAAATCCAATAAAGGTCCAGACGTAGGTCCAGAAGAATCCAGCAATGCCACCATCGACCAAAACTTGAGTGTTCGCTCTGGACGAGGATCAGAAGCTGGATAAGAGTGGACAGGTTGGTCATGCCCGACACATTGCAACTCACATCAATAAAAACTCCCATGTCGCTTGTAGTAGGGCGGTAAATGCCAGAGCCGAAATAGGTCGAAAGTTGCGAATCAATTCCTGACGTTTTCCTAGACGTTGCATATCCCTTTGGTCTTTGGTGGTGTAGCCCTTGTCGAGGATACCAACGTCGTTGTAGCAGCCCTCATCTTCGATGCCATCGAAAGAAGCCAGCTCTCGAGCAGTAAGCGATGCGTCCGAGACCTTGTCTAGGGTCATCTTGACAGCTTCAGAACAACAGATACGAAAACCGCAAACGACAACAAAGTCAGGTGGAGAGATAGGAAAGCACTGGGATATGATCGAGTTCGATCAAAAGGGAAGACGAGTTTGCACGTAGTATCACTTTGAAGCTACTCCTTGAAGTTCAGGTTGGTGCCGACCCTGATACTAGTAGCATGCAGACAGGAGGGGGTATCAGTTGCAGAAGCCATGTTGAGGGGCTTTCGAGGACTGAGGCGAATTGGCGAACCAGGGTTGACAAGACGAGACAGGGATCAGCTCTGCATGAGCGACCTCTCTGGCGTTCTCTGGCGTCTCTGCTAACTCAGAGACCGAATGGTGTGCTAGTTACGTCCCCATTGGGATGCACAATATTCCCGGTCGACTGACAGGTGTTGACTGTGGGACTCTCGATCGCCCCTTGACGGCCATATTGCTCACCATGTTGCGCATGCGTGATTAGTGTTTTACGATTCAGCGAACTGGCGGTGGTGGAGATTGAAGGCCTTGCCCCTCTCGTGAGCAGGTCTCTATGGCCTTTCGCCGTCCCATCCTGCCATGGGAATCGGGGGATGCTGGAGAACTTGACCACCTTGGTTGCTTTTGGGACGAACAGACTGAATTTTTGATGTCAAAGTACAGAAACCTGGTGTCCCATGGTCACCTGCGGAACAAACTCAACTAGAAGCGAAAAGGGAATCAAATCCGAACCTGACGGTTGCCTGCAAGCCACAGATCAAACCCCCTTGGAGGTGGGCGGTGGATTCTGAATACTCGTGGCCAGCAGATGGAATAGAGATGTTTTGATCCCAAGTGGTGACGTTTGACTTTAACGTCTTGCCAAGACGCTTAACTTTCCTGCGAAAATCCACGATAAGTTTACGAACATTCAACGCAACATTGTATGTATCTGCGCCAGAGGGGTTGAGAAGACCGTTGCCCCGCGCTGTTGCTGCCCTTCCTCAACCTTGAGGCTAACCCTCACAATCCTCGCACAATGGCCCAAGGACAAATCAAGAAATCGTCCAAATCCTCCACGAAACTCTCGGCCTCTGGAGGAATCACCAAGAAGGGCTCGCGGACGATAACCCCCAAAAAGGCGAAATTGTTGAAGCAGGCCAAGTTGAACAAGAAATATACGGCGGGGCTCACCGCGAAGACAGAGGCCATGCTCGGTGCACGTGCTGGACATCTGGAAATGCTGGGACAGACGAAGAAGAAGGACGGCGCCACTACAGCCAACGGCAAGGGAAAAGAGGGAAAGAAGAGTGGGAAGAAGGCTTGAGACTTGGTGATACGATCGTGCTGTTCAAACACCATCCTTGTGCACGATCACTCTTCCTATGAATCCCGTCGAGGCGAAGACGGACTTTCGGCTGGGGATGTGATCTGCGAGAGAGACGATACAATCTACACCGGGATACTGATCCTCATGAGTGGTCAACGATTCCTGCCAAAGAGAAGCCTCCCCCACTACGTCTAGGTCGAACTCTTCGACGATACAGAGGACGCATCCTTCAACAGCACGTAAATTCTGGAATAGAGCACTTGGAACAAAGTCGAAAGTCGAGACTTCAACGGAGCAATGCAGCAGATAGGATTCGAAAGCTCAAGGACTACAACGCCCATCCTGGTATATGGTCCAACAACCAAAGTAACGCCCGCAAAGCCTATGTCTTACATTCCACCCAGCGCTCGAGCAGCTTCACCTCCACCGCTTTGAACCATGGCCTGCTGGCTCAAGTCGGCTCTGAGTTTGCCTTTGGCAGGCCCACCTTCGCCGACACCCATTCTCCGCGCAACATACCTTTGGGCCAACATACCAATCGCCAGACTTAGCGTTTCTTCAACCCACTCGCTCACCCATTCTCGGGGATCGATACCACCACTTTCAATAATCTCTTCGATGCTCTCAGGCAAAGTGCCTTCCCCGCCACTCGGGGCATCTAGCCACTCGATCCATTGTCCGGGAATGGCTTGAGAGACGACCTGGAAGGTGATACCGTGAATGGGATCGTGCAGATAGACAGCAAACACAATCTCGTCAGTGACGTTCTCCTTCGCCTCTTTTACTTGCTCGTCCTTCTCCAAACTCGGTGCTGGGGCGAATAGTTCTTCCGACACTGGTTGTGCAATGGCCTGGATCGCTAGGAAAATCTCGCTGTCTCTGGTCGGATTGGAGGTCGAGAGTGTTTCTGTAGCTCGCTTGGCAGCTTCTTCAACTCCACCCTTGGTTCCAAAGTACTCTTCAGCGTAGCTCTCAGCAGAGGCCCTGACGAGCTTGGTACCCTCAACAAGCCCTTTAACTGCGTTGATACTTCGAGGTTCTCCGCTCCTCCACCATGGTCCATCATGCCAGGAGCCCAATGGTCGCGACATTTCTCTAGATTCTCTTTTAGGTCCGGCTTCGTGTCCTCTTTGAACAACCATCAAGTCTCCACCCTCGACTTGTGCCATGACACGGCTAAAGACTTGGTAGACGAGGGGATCGAGGGTGGGATAATTTGACAGGTCGTGGGTGATATGGATTTGCAGTCGTTCGTGGGAAGAGATCGGTGGAGCAATAGTCTGCAAGATGTTCTGAAACGTGGGCATGGCTATGCTTCTAAGGTCACCGCCTGTCGTAGCTGTTAGCCTGCAAAACCTTCAGTTCAACGCTCAACGTCCATACCAAACCCTTTGAGCACACCGACATTTCCTCGGAGTTGCTCTGCCCATTTCTGTGCTTCTTCATTCTTCTGAATTTCTTTCACAGCCGCCTGGGCCTGACTGACGGCGGCAGAAGCAGTCGAGAGCAATCCCCCCCACCACCCACCGCCGCTTTTGGCCGCTACTGGGGCCGGCTCAGGCTGCGATTCATTTTCTGTGGACTCTTCAGTCGTTGTGGTCGCTGGTGTAAAGCTCTGATGGAACGAACGTGTACTATCACCCGACTTGCGCTGACCGCTGCTCGACTTCTCTTCGCTTGTCCGGCCAGGAGGCGGGGTGGCTGTCGAGGTTCGCTTGGGGGATCTGTTGCCCGTGGCTGAAGACACATTTGGACGCAGTGATGGAGTGGCAGGTCGGCTAGCTGGTCGTTGGGCCAAGTTTCCCAGTTCAGCGAGCAGGTCTTGTTCGTTCTGTGACGATTGGGCCGGTTGTCCTTGTCGGGCAGTTCTGGTGGAGGGCTTTGGAGCACGCGTCGAGGCCTGCGTGCTCAGATCGTCAAGCTGTGCCAAGAGCTCATCGTCGGTGGGTGCCGCCTTCTTTGCAGCCATGGTCATTGCATGTAGAAATCGAAATGGATGGGTATGGAGGTGGACAATCTGGCGTGTGAAAGCCGAGTTGAAGACGCAGGGAGGCTAGGGAACGTGCACGGACGTGACTATGACGGCCATGGAGATCCGCTTTTGGGGAACAAGTGGTGCCGCTCTAAGCCACCTTGGGACAAAAGCACATGGACTCAAAGGCAACGTCCCACACTGCAGTCAAATCAACTTCCTTCCTGGCTCCTTTCTGGCACTCAGTCTGGTTCTCCTGTGCTACACAACGCAACTCAGACCCTCAAACAAACCACACATTTCCCAGTCTGCACCGCCCGCCGAGACTGAAGCGGCAAGTCTACAAATCGAGATCTGCCGGGGCGAATGTCGACGATGTGAGTGTATGGGTAGTTTCTGCTGTTATGCCTCTTTCGTGACCCGCTGAATGCCGTTTGTCTCCTCGTTGAATTAGATTGTTCGTTAACCACGACCTGGAAATGGAACCGAACATTCAGCAAATGCGTTGCTCCGGGCCTACAAAAGTCCAGATGATCAGCTGCCTTGGATACACCTGCCTGCCGAATGAGTTGAAGAGATGTAACAGAGCCTGGAAGGAGTTCAACTTCCAAGTGCAACTTCCAAGTGCACCGATATAATACGGATTGAGTAAGGATGACAAGGAGACAGACGACAAGGGGTATTCTGAAATGTAGTAGTAAGTATTGTTCTGTGATGCGTTTCTTTTCTCTTCATATCTCCCAGCAACAACACATAGTTTGAAGCATCATACTATCTTCACCCTGGCCGCGGCCTTTTCGTGAGAGCATATATGACAACTACTAGTATTGCCTCAGATCATTCAACAATACACTACAATTGTTCAATACTAAACCAAGTCGCTCGAGCACACACACAGCATTGTAACTAGACAAAATCAACCCTTCTCCGATCTCGCGGAGATATCTCACAACAACTCTCATCCCTTTACTCTTCATTGCTGCATGCTCCCGACGTGAAGTGCGATCAACGAGAACTTGAGAGTACTCAAAATGCTCCATCATGTTATTCGTTCCCCATTCCTTGCTACCTCTCCCATTCTGCTCCTTCTTTTACTCGTCCAAATTTCGAGCGCAACGCTCTTGACCGCTTTCGGTGGACGCGAACGAGATGTCATTCTCCCTCGTGGGATCATGAAAAACGGCACCTGCGACGATGGCTACGAATGGACCGTCATCACCCCGCTCTCGACTCAAGGCGCCACGTGCTGCCCGGTCGGGTACAAAGGAGAAGAGGCAAAGATCCTGGGGAATCTGGCGGGGACGTTCTGTTGTCCCGAGCATATCGACACGGTGCCATGCGATGCCCACGACCGCGAGATGCCAACGACACCCCTCACCTGTCCGGAGCCGGGGCAGCTAATCGGCGCGCTCTGCAAGTATTATTATTGGTAGAGGGAGCCTTCTTCAGAGAAGAGGTCGGACAGACGGACCTGAATGCTGGAATTGCCTTTTGGGAGGAATTAGGGACGACCACTAAGAAGGCAGACAGGGAATGGTCGACGGTTCAGTGGTTTTGGGCCCTGGAACCGAAATGGTTTCATGTATCAACCACTGCAGCGAGCTTTCTACCAAACAAGGCGAATTGGATATCAGCGCCCATTGAGCTGGGTCATCTCCCTTCATATGGGGAAGGCGCGTTACGTGTCAGGGCAATGATCCAGATAAGAAGTCATACTGGACTGGGCTAGATTCAAGCATTCGCCAGAAAGAGTACAAATCTGAGCCTGGTGTCAAGTTGTCCTCTGCATTGACTTGGTTAATCTAGAGGCAGAAATCGGTCTCCATCCTGTCTGTAGTGCTCTGCCATCGAATCTTGATTGATACCCATCCTGTTGTCCCGATCTTTGCGCTTTGCGAGAGCAGGCGAATAAAACAAGACCTCCTGGAGGGGATAGGGCCAAAGTCGCAGACAGTCCCCGAACGCCAACTTGCTTCACACATCCATCTCCCACCAACACTTTGAATCTCGAGTGACAAGTGACGGGTGACGGTGAACGATGTTCCTACTTCCACTTCACTCCAACCCGAGTCACCCTTGAGATGCCCTCACTCCGGGACGTGTCGTTTGCTTGAAAAAGCGCGAAACAAACCTGACCAGCCGCAACGCTTGAACAGAGCTTGACGACTGGTCTCTCGTGAGAAGGCACATTGAATCTTCTTTTCTTTGGAGTGGCTCGAACTTGATTCGGGTGTAGTGACCATCCTCGTCGCCGGCTCTTGAACTGTCGAGTTGACTCATTATTGTCGCCTCACTCTTGTACCCAACCAGGTTCCTGGGATTGTCAGAATGTTCATCAAGATGAATCAAACCACAGCCAAAGATGACCCCGGCGGTTTCGCAAGCGAGATGAAGTTGTCCCTCAGCTCGCCCGGCGCTGGATCAGAAGGGTCCGCTCGCCACATCGAGACGCAGGATGAATGGCCGTCCAGTCGGGATTTCGCCCAGAGATACGGTCGGTACGACACACAGGGCTTCTTGGTCGATTTCGAACATACAACGGCATACATGCTACCCAGGAAGGCACCCGTGCCTCCCCGTCCCAGCACACCAATTTCACCGTCCGGTCTCACCTGCGCCACTCTTATCGACCAGTCGTCCTCGCAATCGGAGCCACTGATTGCGATACCATACGAGTCTACATCTGAGGCAGACTCCCAACCCCACACGAGACCTCAGATCAGGTTCAGCGACATGTACCGGAAGTGGTGGTTGCAGCAATACTACCGGCCGAAGCAACTGGTGCGGCTTGCGTCTAGGACTTCAGCTCAGGGAAGCCGGCAAGGTTTCTGGCTCGCTCGAGGTACACTGAGAGGGTGTGATGAGGTGATGATGCATCAAGACCCTAGGTATTGGCTGGCAAGGGCGACAATGAAGGACGCTAAGCAGGACGGCGAGGCTGGGAGCGCCGACATACCCTATCGGCTCTGGGGTCGTGTCATCGACAAGGTACGAAGAATAAGTGGCGAAGAGAAGTGACTTCGTG